TCCATCCATCATCCATCCATCATCCATCCATCCATCCATCCATCCATCCATCCATCATCCATCCATCCATCCTTTCATCTATCCATCCATTCATCTATCCATCCACCCACTCATCCATCCGGCCGGGCTGTGTCCAAGGTCTAGGAGATGCAGCAGTAGAAAGGGTAGATGAAATCTCCGCCCCCACGTAGCTAACAGTCTCACGAGGACAGCGCAGGGCACAGCCCTGGGAGGCGTCATCCGTCCACAGCATCATGTGTGCGGTTGGCCTCTGCGAGTTTGCCCGACTCCGCCGTGGCGTGGCACTCCCCCACTCTGATGTCGGTGGGGCCGGTCACATTTTAGACAAACATGTGAGTGTGCAGTATGTCAGACATACTGTGATACGTGCTGTGTAAACGTGAAGTGAGTAAGGGGCGTGGGGTCTGCTGGCGAGGCAGCCAAGGGCAGGGCTCCCAGGCGAGTGATATCGAGCAGAGACCCAACGCAAGGTAGTGGGATTCCAGATTAAGTAGGGTCCTGCTTTTTTATGCGTCACATTTTAGACAAACATGTGAGTGTGCAGTATGTCAGACATACTGTGATACGTGCTGTGTAAACGTGAAGTGAGTAAGGGGCGTGGGGTCTGCTGGCGAGGCAGCCAAGGGCAGGGCTCCCAGGCGAGTGATATCGAGCAGAGACCCAACGCAAGGTAGTGGGATTCCAGATTAAGCAGGGTCCTGCTTTTTTATGCCTTTTTTTTTTTTTTAACTTTTGAAAATATTTGAATAATTTTATATTAAAAGTTAAAAAGAAAAAACAATTTTCTGGCTTTCCCCCGATGACACTTAATGCTTTGCTTGGCTTTTCAGAGTGACCGACTCCTCATCAAAGGTGGACGAATCATCAACGATGACCAGTCCTTCTATGCCGACGTCTACCTGGAAGATGGACTTATAAAGTGAGTTGACCAAACAGACCTTCTAGGAAGCTGTCTCCCTAGGCTCCCGGCCCACAGAGGGAAGGGAAGGCTGGTGTCCTGTTCCACAATAACCGCCATGTTCCTGTGAATATCAGGGATGGAGGGATTTGGGGAGGTTCATACTGCAGATGGAGAAGGGACGAGCATTTATTGAGTGTCCCCATCCCGCAGGCTTTCTCTCACAGCGCTCACGGAGGCCAGCAGGCTCACACGGAGCTTGTGAAATAGACCCACTGGTCCCTGCTCCGTCTCATGGGAGTGGCGGCCTGGAGAGGTTAAATCCTTGCCCCACGTTACAGGCCCGTTAGGGGCAAGGTGCGGGTTCCACCTGGCACACTTGACTGATTCACAGCTCTACCTTCAGCCCGCCCAGAATTTCCGGAATTGTGTTGAGGGGCCCAGGAGACAAGGGAGTGTCTGGCTTCCAGACAGAGCGTTGCTCCTGAGAGGAGAGACCTGCGCTGGGGCTGGCACCTCGCCTCCCTTTCTCCCTGTCACCTCCCTCGCCAGCCCTCCCGAGACACTCAGGTGCCAGTCCGCTTGGCCGCCATAGTGGGGAACCCCAGACTGGGAGGCTTAAACAGCAGCTATGTTCTCCTCGCTGCTCCGAGGCTGGAAGGCCAGGGTGTGCTGGCAGGGTCGGCTTCCCCCGGGACCTCTCCCCTCGGCTGGTAGACAGCCCTCTGCTCGCCGTGTCCCGATGCGGCCTTTCTTCCGTGCACGCGCACTCCTGGTCTCTCTTCCTCTTCTCATAAGGACCCCAGTCCCGTTGGATTAGGGTCCCCCCACCCCCGCCGTAGCCTCTTTTTAACTTAGTTACCTCTTTAAAGGTCCCATTTCCAAATACTGTCACATGCCAGGGTCCTGGGGTTAGGGCTTCAACATGTGAATTTGGGGGTCGCAGTTCAGCCCATAGCGGTGCTTCTGAACGCTTGCAGGCTGAGCTGAGGGGACCTTTTACTCGGTCTTGCTGCAAACACTCAACTGCTGTATCCCCGCGGCCGCTGCTGAATGTGTGTGAAGGACCGGAGTGGTGGGCGGTTCAGAGAGCCCTTTGCCACTTGATGGTCGTGGCTCTGCTGGATTCAGCTCTGCCGTCGCCTCCCCCTGGAAGCGTCCCAGATAAGCGCCCCCCCTCATGCTCCCTGCCCCTCTGCTGCCCTGGATTGTCACCGCCCACCTACATGCCTTTCCTCCTCATTAGCCCGGGGCCCCTCGAGGACCCGCCTGAGTTATCCCTGTCCATCCAGTGCCCTGCGTAGGACCTGGCTCAGAGATGTTCACCTGTGCTGGGCCAGCACAGGTGACTGCCACTCCCTGTGTCTTTTAAGAACTGAAGCCGTCTCTGTCGTTTGTCCGCAGACAAATAGGCGAGAACTTAATCGTTCCTGGTGGAGTGAAGACGATCGAGGCCAATGGGCGGATGGTCATTCCAGGAGGGATTGATGTCAACACGTACCTGCAGAAACCCTCCCAGGGGATGACTGCCGCTGATGACTTCTTCCAAGGGACCAAGGCAGCACTGGCGGGAGGGACCACAATGATCAGTGAGTTTCGCCCCTGCCTTAGGGGCGTAGACTGTGACTTCTCTTTATCGCCAGCGTCATCAGCAACATACAAGTGCTCAGAGTGTCATTTAATGCAGTTGTCACTACAACCCTACCATAGGGTCAGCATGTTATGTTTGCCACTGTACACAAACAAGACATTAGAAGCAATGTAGACATTAAACTTTGATAATTATTTTAATGCATATTGAAGTAAAATAACTAGCACATCATGGATGTTACTGCTTAGGTTCAGACCGAGGTCAGAATTTAGATTTTTAGAAACTGCATTAATTTAAGAAAAGTACTAAGAATGATATGGATTATAGGGAGATAAAGCAAATTCCTGAAGATAGTGTGCAGATGGCTAAAGTTGTGGAACTAGAGACGTAGGTATTGTTATTGCACATGAGGGAGTAGAAGCTCAGAGAGGTTGAAGTATCCTCCAGGTTACACAGCTGGGAAGTGATTGTATGAGTCAGTATTGCTGCCATAATGCTACGTAACAAGTAGTCTCCAAGTAGCGGGAGAGTTCAGACTCTGCAGCTTACAACACTCCGTGGGGGTCTTCTCCCCACCACTTACTAGTTGACCTTGGACATGTTCCTTACCCTCTTTGCACCTCAGTTTCTTCATCTGAAAATGGGGCTATTCATCTTCATGTCACAGGATGGTTGTGAGGATTTAATGAGATAATTTATGGAAAGCCTTTGTGGTAGTATCTGACACAGAGTAAGCGTTGGATATATAGCTGTGATGATGATGACGCTGCTGAAGATGACAATAATAACAGTGGTGACAATAGTGATAATAAAGGCTAAAGATGATGTGACAATGTCATTGCTGATGTTTATGATAATGATGTGACAGTGATGGCAATATCGACAATGGTGCTGGTGGGAGTGATGATGAAAAGGACAGTGGTAATGAGAATATTGATCTTGATGGTGGTGGTGATGATGGTGGTGATGATGGTGATAATAATAGTGGTGGTGGTGGTGATAGTGGTAATATTGATGGTAATGGTGATGATGGTGATGGTCGTGGTGGTGATGATGGTGATAGTGATGATGGTGATGGTGGTGATGATGATGGTGGTGGTGGTGATGGTGATGGTAGTGGTGATGATGATGATGATGGTGATAGTGATGATGTTGATGGTGATGATGGTGGTGATGGTGGTTATGGTGGCTATGGTGGCGATAGGGGGGATAGGGA